CATGCCAAGTACACTTCCACACTTCCTCCTCAGGACCTTTGTATGAGCTGCACCCACTGCCCGGAAGGCTCTTCTGGATATCTATCCGTCTTGTACCCTTTGGGTCTCTCTTCCAAAGGCATCTCATTGGAGACCCCGTTCCCCCATCACTGTCACTCTGTACCCCTTTCCATACTGGAAGAGGGTGGCACTGTCTATCACAGGAGAGGCTGAAGGGTACCAGCCAGGAGGCCAGGGGCCTGGCTCGGACCACTCCGATCATGGCTAAGAAGCTCATAGGACTCCAAAAGAACAAGGCCACACGTGGAGTAAGGAGCCCGCGAGTGCCAGAATGTCTCATTAATAATATTGAAAGGATGTGGAGCTAGTTTTGTGTCCATCTCTGTGCTAAGTACTTTATACACGGTAGCACAATTAATTCTTACAACAGCCTGGGGCTGGTTGCGGAGGCATAACATTCAGTATCCTCGTTTGCCAGAAAACAGAAGCCCAGAAAGGTGAAGTAACTTGACCAAGTCCACACAGCTAGGAAGGGAGCGGAGCTTGGATTTGAACCAGAGACCTCTGGCTCCAAAAGCCCATGCTCTTAGCCTCTGGACCACGCTGCATCTCTGAGTTAAGATGCATGGAATTTTGTGCAGCTTCGAGAGCCTGCTGGGATTGGCCTGGCATCCTGGAGTATTGGGGAACCTAGGAGAATGAGGGCTAATTAATGATCGACTGTCACATCCCTCTGCGGCAGTTTCAGCTTTCAAAGCACTTTTGCATTCCTCACCTCTCTTAGTCCATTAAGGAACTTTACCCACCCATGGGACGGACCTCGCTTCCTATCACATGGGGGAGCCCAGTGAGAGCTGGAGCAAGGGTCTGGGAGGGTGGGGGAGCTTTGGGAGAGGGAACTCCAAAACCTTTAGGAACTCCAAAACCCCCTTACCACATACCAAGCCCCAGAGAAATCCTTGTAAGAGCATCCTGAGATGGGGAAGATTGGCATCCCCATTTCAGAGATGAGGAGACAGAGGCTCAGGGTCTGGGGGAGGAAGTGCTTTAGTGTCTGTCATCTTTCTGTGAATTTCAGGCTGTATGCTCCAGGGGACAAGGAGAGTTTGCCCTGATCAGTGGTGTCTGAAGTGGAGCAGCAGGACGAAGAGGATGGACCTGCTCCTTCAATCAAGCATCCTGTGGTCTCCCCCAGCAGTCTTGCATGGGAATCTTGCCTTTATATCTAAGTGTTTTGCTGTCCTGAGATGGGAACTCAGCTCAGTGAGCCCTGAGCTGGTCGTGTCTGGGGAAGGGGGTATAATGAACAAACAAGCACCTGCCTCCACCCTCTGGACCTTGGGTCTACCCATGCCCCGGATGGGTATGGGTAGACCCAAAGGGACTGAGAAGAGCCAGGTAGATCCAGCTTTAGAAGCCCCCTTGGAGGATCAAGAACCAAGATCACAGGTTCCAGGGAACAAAGGGCTGTAACCCCATACGCCAAACCAAGGCATGGCAACCCCATTGAGTAGCCCCATTCCTGACAAATCCCATCCCACGGGAAGTCAGCTAGGGTGTCTCCTCTTCTGCCTGGGCCTCCCGGAGCCTCACTTGCCTTCCTCAACACTCCCTTTGGCCCATCACCCCGTGTCCAGACCCTGCCTGGGGGGTGGGGGAGTCCTGAGGCCTGCCCCCCTGCCAGATGGGTGCCATTGGCAGCAGGCAGGCAGTGGCATACGGGGTAGATGCTGGTTGCCATAGCAACCTGCCAAAGTCTTGGGTGGAGGCACATGGCCTCCGGGGTATATAGGGGGAGGGAATGCATCTCTCTCTGTCCTGGCTCAGGCCTTTGGGCTGCACAGCCTGTGGACCTGAGGCTCTGCTGTTTGAGACGTGGGGGTGGGTGAGTGTATGTGCTGAGAAGAGAGAGAGGGAACATCTAAAAATCTGCAAATAAATCCTAGTACTTATGGTGTCCCTGCCTCATCCCCAGAAGGGCGCCCCCCTCAGGGCATCATGGCATGAGCATAAGATAGCATCTCTAGAAGACCCCGTCAAAATACAAAAAGGTCGCTGGCTGGCCCACCTTCTCTAGCCTCAGAAGAGGCAAGAGGAACCTGAGTTCTAGTTAGTTCTGTCCCTGGTAGGCTGTGTGAGCTTGGATAAGGCCCTAGCCCTCTCTGGGCCTCAGTTTCTTCAAACAGAAAATGGACAGGGCTGGTATGGATGACCTATGGATGATCTGGAGGACTATGCCTGGGGGGACAGGGGAGGCGGATCTGGGAATATGCTCCATTGAGAGTAGGTTCTGTGCTGTCTGATTTCCAGGCTTAGAGTCAGTCCTGGCTCTTTTCTGGGTGGGCTCTTTCCTGGCATAGGTCCCATACCCTTGCCCAAGACCGAGACTCTGGATGGTTCCCATGGCCCTGATGGACCCACAGAGGGTCTAGAAAAAGATGGGTTAGGGAGGGACAAAGAGGCGTTTTGTTCTTTGGACCAGTGAGGTTGGGAGAGGAGGGGTCGCTTGGGGGCATCTGACTTTCACCACAAGGCTGATTCTGGGCTGAGTGGCTGCCCTGCCCCACCTCAGGTCATGTCCCAGCCTCTCCACAAGCCCTCTGCTCTGGATACAGCTCCCTGCAAACATCTCTTGCTCCTTGGCGCTCAGGCCAGGCTGCAGCTGGCACCTGCCATCACCCCTTCTTCTCAACCCTCCTAGAGCCCCCATCCTCCCGCACAGCTGGCTGGGGAGAGCAGGAACCCATAACTCCCGTTAAATCACTCTTTCTGCCATCTCTGCAGGGGCCCTGGTTATAGGGAGGTGAAATTTGCCTAAAGCCCACCTGGCTGGCATAATGGCACCCAGTGGGCAAATTCAGGCCAGTGGCTCAGAACGCTGGTCATGCATTTTGGGCTTGAACACAGCCCAGGGGGCAGGGCTGAGGACATGTGTACCTCATTACCCCAGCGATGTGGGAAGCAGTAATTAAACCGAGCTCCACTTAGAGAGACAGAGAGGGACACACATCTCAGGATCTCTCAGTGACTTTTCAGCCTTGGCAGAAACATTCAGAACTCTGGACAGGGATGCACGTGTGTAGATGAGATTCCTGCCCCCAACCCCCAGCCAAAGTACACAGGAACCCACTAGCAGCCCCTTGGATGCATTCCCATCTCAGGGCAGGGAGCACATAGCTGCTTCAATTTTTCCAGGATCAAGGGTTCTGAGTAGCCTGAGTGTGACTTCTGGAGAATGCTCTGAGCTAGGCCTTCTCAGTAGGGCCATCAACACTCTCCCAGAACCGTTTCTGAGCAGGTCAGAGTCTGGGAGGCAGATGGCGGGGTCAGAAGCCAGCTTGGGCCCCAGGAGAGTGTCTCCCACTAAGAGGCTACGGTGGGATTTAGTCTATATTTATCACCCCGGCAGCCCCGAGTGCTAACCACAGAACCCTGGGCCCATGACATGTTGCCCAAACTGGCGCTGCCACCTCAGGGCCCCGCTAGTCCTGGAGTATGCTGAGGTCCCTAGCAAAGCAGATTTAGGGGAAAGGAGAACAAGGAAAAGGAAGTACCCAGCAAAGTGACACGTGTGCATGCAGCTTTGAGTACACACACACACAAACGGAAACACATATGTGTGTTTTTGTGCCAGGCCCAGGAAAACTGGTCTGGGGGGCTGTCTGGCCCCTCACTCACCTCCCTTAGCTCCTTGGCCACCTCCTTGAGTTCCTGCAGGATGCCCTCAAGCTGCCCAATGACCATCTTCATGCGCTGTCGGATCCGCTCCCGCTGGCCACCACTGCTGGGGTCGTCACTGGGCTGCCCGAGGTCCGGGGCGCCCCGAATGTTCATCCTTTACCACGTCGCTGCAGGCCTGCCCATATTCCCCCCAGCCGGGCACACACTGCGTCTGCCACCACGGAGCCCCCCTCGGCCAGGCAGAGCTCCACATCTTAACGGCCCCCCAGCCCACCCTGGCCCTGGGTGGCCCTCACCCAGTCCCTGCCCCCTGCCACCCCGCCTCCTCTGCCTCTGGGTGGGGAATGGGACACCCAGAGGAAGACAGAGTGTGACGGAGGGGGTCAAGGTGAGGACACAGGAGGACAGGGGGAGGGGCCTTGGGTCTCAGGAGTGGCAGCCAGGACTTGGAGTGCCTGTGCCTGGGCTGAGCTGATCTCTGGCTGAGCCTGGACACCGAGGCAGGGGGATGACTCTGCAGGGACTAAGGGTAAGAGATGCCCTTGGGATGGGGGAAGGCAGCAGGAATCCCTCACAACTCCTAGGAGGTTGCAAAGGCAGAGGTCTCCGGGTGCAACTGACACCTGCAGAGGGACGGTGGCTGGGGTCTTCCAGATGTGGTTGTGGTGGGGGCTCCAGATGTGGGCAGCTCTGAAAAGGGAGCTGGATGGAGAAGGGCAGCCCCCTGCAGAAAGAGCAAGCCTGGCGTCAGCCCTCCCAGGCTGCACCACCAGCCGGCAAGCAATGCCGCTGCCTCCCTCCTCTCGCCAGCCTGCACCCTTCGTCGCTGGGGATTTTTTTTTTTTTTCCCTTTGTGGGGAGGGGTGATGGAGGCAGATTATCTACAGCATAGCCCTTCCTATGGAAGGAAATGAAGGAGTCCCTGCTTTAAAGGCAGAAGTCCTCAGCCTGCTACGGGGCACCCTGCCCCAGCTCCCCCAGTCCCCCGTGCCTCCACCCCCCAACCAGGCCCGGTCCCGCTGGTTCACGAGAGGGCCTCTCCAGTCCTCCGTCCTCCGTCCTCCCTCCCAGTGCCCCCAGGGTGCCCTCACTCCCAGCGGACCCTCCCTTCCCCAGCCCCGCCTTCCCTCTGAACCCCCGCTCTGCTCCCGGACTCACCAATGGTGGGGGCACCGGCCTTCCTTCCCAGCAGCGTCGGGGGCCAAGCCCCAAGAGGAGGTTGGGGGGCCCCCAAGGCTCCCTAGGGCGGGCTTCTCTCTCTGGACCCTTCGGCCCCCGGCCACAGGGAGGTCCTCCGAGCCGCCTTGGGAGACATCTGGATGGTGGGAGGGGGCGGGGCCTCCGCGCTCCAAGGAAGGGGGCAGGAAAAATCTCCCCCAACCCCCGCCGGGCTCCGGGTCGGGAACCAGAGAGGGTCCGGCGGGCTCGGGGCTCCGAGGCCACAGGTGACCAGGGCGCCGGGCGACCGAGGCGACGCCGGGCCGGTCCCAGCGTGTGAGCCAAAGTCGGAGGGATCGGAGGGCGCCGGGATCCCCTCAGCCCACGCCCGGGATCCCCCGGGCTCGGCACAGTCCGGGATTTGCTCTGTCCAGTCCAGATCGGCCGGCTCCGGGCTCCGCCGGGGTCTGCCTGCCCTGCCGGGAGTGAGCGGACACCACTGGGCGCCCGGGGCGCGCTCAACCAGGACCCAGAAGGTCCGCACTCCGGCACCCGCGGCTCCGGAGCGGCCGCGAGAGTCCGCTCAGCCCGGCCCCGCTGTCCGCCGGGGGCGAGAAGGCTCCCACCTCTCAGTCTGCGGTCGGAAAGGTCCGGAAACCGCCGGGTCCGGGGGGAGGGGCGGCGGCGGCCGCGGGGACCGGGTCCCCGCGGGGCCGGGCCGAGAGCGCGCGAGGCAGGGGGCCCGGCGGGGCTGGGTTCGGCGGCCCGGGCGCGGGCGGGAGCGGCGCCGGGCGGAGCAGAGGAGGCGAGGAGAGCGAGAGGAGGAGGAGGCGAGGCGCAGGGAAGGGAGGGGAGGAGGCGCGCGCGGCGGGCCCGGGCCGGGCCCGGGCGCACGGGGCTCGCAGCCTCGGCTCCGCTCCCGCCGCCCCCCCGGCCCGCTCCCGCTCCGCTCGCCGCCTCGCCAGCCACCCGGCGCCGGGTCGCTGCCGGTGGGGCAGACCCGCGCGGGGTCGGGGCTGGGCCTCCCTCCGCTGCCTCGCCCTGCCCTGCCCCGCCGGGGCTCCACGGGCCTGGGCCCGCTCCCGGAGCGCCGCGCCGCCAAGCCGCCCGCGCCCCGGCCGTCCCCGGCCCGCCCCGCCGACCCCCGCCGGACTGGCCGCCCCGGCGGGCGCTGGCTCCCTCAAAGGCCGCCCGGCTCGCTCGGCTCGGCTCGCTCGGCGCTGTCAGAGAAGGGGCCGGCCCTGCGCGCCGGGAGGGAGCTTTTAAAGCGACACACACGCCGCCCAGCGCCGAGCGCCGAGCGCGCGAGCCGGGGGGTTTGGCTGCGGGGGAGACCGCGAGGGTCCTACGCCTGCGAGGCTGGAGGCGCACTAGCCGGGCGGGGACTCCGTCCGACCTCCGAGCGCGGAGGGACAGCGGTCTGGGGACTTAGTTCTTCCCGCCTTTCCAGGCACCCCTATCGCCCCTTCCCCCACTGCGGTGCACCCCAAACCTCTCTTCTGGCGAAGTTTTCCTCGCCCAGATCTTCCCCATTTCCCCTCATCATATCTCAACCTCCCCCAGACCTTGCTTTGAAGCAGATTAATTCAGAAAATAGAATACAATCTTTACTGAGCACCTACTGTGTGCCAAGCTCTAAGGTAGGTAGAGCTGGGAGTTGGAGGCCCTGGTGACAGGTGTGCGTGAGACATAGATCATTTCTTCAGTTACTCGTCCATTTACTCAACATTTATTCAGCACCTTCTGTGTACCAGACCCCATGCTAGACTCTGGGGTCCTAGATAGGAAGACAGCATTTCAGGAAGCTCACAGCTCCTGGAGAAGTTGGGGCGGTAAATTGCAGGACAAAGACAAGTTCTTTAAGAAACGCTAAGGGATTGGGGAGGGCGGGGAGCAACCCAGGTCAGGGGCTGGCAGGCTCTCCCAGGAGACAACCCCTGAGCTGCTTCTGGAAGGAGAAGTAGGAGTTACCCAGGTGACTGTCAGTGTGGGGGAGGTGGGGATGAGCACTCCTGGGGAGGTGGGGAAGGGTTAGAGCAGTGGCTCAGAGGCAGAAGTGAGGGGAGAGGGAGTCTGAACCAACCGTGCTCTTTAAAGGGATACCTATTTGACAGCTCTGTGGAAAGTGGATTAGAGGGAGACCAGATCTCCGAGGGGCTTGGAGGCCACAGTTAGGTGCTAGGATTTTCTCCTGGGGCAGAGGGGTGGGATGATGTCAGAGGGGAACTTGGACTTGCTTGCCTTCTCAGGAGATTCCTCTGTGGCCTTGTGGATGGGGGAGCTGAGGGCTAGGCCACAGGAAGACCAGTTAGGAGGCTGTTTTAAGAATCCAGCTGAGGGGGGGGGGGCGGAGTGGGAGCAGAGACGGAGAGGAGGGGAAGCTTTAAGAAAAAATTTAGGAAAATAGGACAGGATTTAGGGCTGAACTTTGAGAGAGAGGGAGATGCCTCTTTGAGCTTATGGCTTATAGCTTGAGAGGCTGCGTGCATGGTTATGCACACAGTTTTGCTGGAGAACCATGGGGTGTACAGGGGTCTTCCAGAGGCCCCGGGTCCTCCAGAAGCCGTAAGGGTGGGGGTCCAGTTGCCTTAGGTGGGGGGGGGAGATATTCTCCTAGGGATGTGGTGAAACCAGAGGCCCCACCCATCGTCATTTTTTTTTTAATTGTGGTAAGATGCACATAAAATTTACCTTCTTCACCATTTTTAAATGTGCAGTTCTGTGGTATTAAGTACATTCACAGTGTCAGGCAATCACCAACACCATCCATCTCCAGAACTCTCTCCATCTTGAGAAACTGAAACTGAATCCAGCCGGTGATAGCTGTCCATTCTTTGTCTCCCCCAGACCTTGGCAAGCATCATTCTGTTTTCTGTGTCCGTGAATGTCACTACTCTAGGCACTTCAGATAAGTGGATTCCTATAGTCCCACCAACCATTTCACAGAAGGTCTGATGCTAAGGCTAGCCAGCATCAAAAACGGGCTGAGCCTGAGGAAATTGAAGGAGTTTCTATCCTTGGGTCCATGGGACCATCTGTGCACATGCAGAATGGGGGAGATGTGTTTGAACATGGGAATTGTTAAGAGACAGTGAACTTGGTTTCAGAGGCTAAGATGGGACTGCTTAATACTTACTTGATTTGGGGTCTCATTCATAGAAGTGAGTTATTTAGGAAAAGGGAGGTGATATTTCTTCTGCTACCTCTGTGGATCAAATGTCTGGGACCCCCATCCACTGGGTGGACACCCAAGAGGGCATCCAGAATAGAAAAGCAGAGGACTGGTGTATATTATATGTCTTCTGAAGAAGGGGTAGGCTGATCAGAACAAACTAGAGAAGAGGCTTGTCAGAAGATATCTCTGATTATACATCTCCAAAGGGCTACCACAGGTGAGAGGGAATAACTAGGTTCTGGGTGGTCCTCAGGCCACCTTCCTTAGTGCTTGGAGACTGACCCATTCTCTCTTCCCTTCAACCTCCCTGGGTACTTGCCCAGATGTCCTACCCTTCAGATCTCTGCTTAGATCCATATTCCCACCCTCTCCACCTCTAGACAGACTTCCCTAGTCCTTGGTTGGCAGAGAGAAACAGAAGAACTCTTTTGGCCCTTAACCAAATGTTTCCCAGGATGTTCATTTAATATGTTAGCTGTATGACTGTGGGCAAGTCACTTAACCTCTCTGAGCCGGGATATCCTTATCCTTAGCCCATAAACATTTTTATTTTTCCCTATATTGGCTGCCTTGCCAAAAGGGGGGAGGGGAGTTATTTTCTAATGTCTCTTTGACTCAGAAAAATAGGGATGATAACAGTACCTACTTTCCAGGGTCATTGTGAGCTTGGAATAAAATAAGGCATCTGGAAGCACTTGGCCCAATGCCTGGTACCTGGTAGATGATCCATGGATGATAGTTGCTATCAGCTCTTATTAATGGCTTTGAGAGGCTCTGACCTCCCCAAGATGGTGTCTGTGTCGTGTCTGCCCCTGTCTCTTCCGTGGACCAATGTAATGGACTCTGACAGTTAGTGACTTTTATCTCTTTAGTCTGTTTTCCATCATCCCACTTCTGGCATCCCTTTCCTTTGGGAAACTCCCCCTGTTGTCACAGAGACCTAGTGGGTTGTCCATTGCCGTGCTGACTTATCCTACAGCGTTGCCAGCAAGTGACCTGAAATGCACATATCATCGAACCTCATCCTCTGTCTAGCACCAGTGACTGGCCCAAGGGGTGGGCACACTACCCAAGCAAAACCTGGATCTTTCCCTGGAATTGATATGTGGACACTGCGGGGAGGGAAGCTTCCTTATTGGGCTGTAGATGTTACTGACAGTCAGCTCTCCCACTAATTGGAGAAGCCAATCAGGGCAACAGAGGGGAGGGGAGTTTAGAAGGCATGCTAGTGGCACTGAGACCCAGTCTTTGCTCTTAGGGCCTGGAAGTCTTTCTTTCAGTCCTGGGAGCAGCAACCACATCCTACCCATCTCAAAGAGCCAATAAACGCCTTTCTTGCTCCAACTTCTTTGGCTGTGTTTCTATCTCATACAACCAATGGGAGCCTGACAAATACGCTCAGGGAATATTAACAAACAGATGACTGACTAAATGATTGAATTCTGGATAGGGTGGGGTGTCAAAGATCCTGAAACCTGAGGGTTCAGAGCTGCTGCCCTGTGGCCATGGGAGGGAGTTTTTTTGGGAAGTTATTACATCAGGCAGACTTGGGTTTCAGTCCCAACTCTGCCATTTACTAGCTGTATGATCTCGCGCAAATTATGTACCCTCTCTGAACTTGAGGTTCCCTATCTGCAAAATGGTCAAAGTAATGGAGACTGCATAGGGTCGCCTTGAGGATGGAATGAAATAAGAACACATAGCACCAAGTCCTGTACCCTAGGAAGGGACATGGGAGACAAGAGCTCGAAAAATGGTAGCAATCTTAGCACGCAATCCATTGTAGCTGATAGTGTAGGACTGAGATTGGCAAGCTGGTCAGGAGGGAACCAGGATTCAATCTGCAAGCTGAATTCCCAGAAGGAGTGGGTCTTGGTACCAGGGAAGTGGCACCAGGGCCAGAGAGAGCATGTTTGGAGAAAGGAGAGAGACAGCAGAGAAGCTAGCCCTGAGGCAGTGGAGTTGGAAGGGTCATATGCTGTTTTTTCTGCTAACCACATGACTCTCTAAATCTTCCCAAACCTCAGTTTCCCTTCTTCATCGATACTTTCTTGATAGATATCTTGAGGACTCAATCCATGTAAGATTGAGAGCACAGGGCTTAGTAGGTGTTCCATAAATATTACCTATTGTTATTGATGTTTGCCGCTTAGGGAAATATCTGAACAAAAAGGTAGGATCAGTGGATAATGTTACCAGCAAACTTTCCATGAGAAAATCCCCAAGTAAAGGACCGTCTGTCTCTGAATCTCCCAGGACAGGCCATTCCAGAATGAGGAGGAGATGACATGTGTTTTTCTGCAGCTGGACAGTGATGGGGCTCCTACTGGAGAAGCCATGTCTTGGAACATTTCTGTCATCTTCCTGCTCCCTGTCATCTTCCCAGCTCAGGCAAGGTTTTCAGAAGAATTTTCTGCAGTGGCTGCCTCTTCTTCCTCACTTTGGATCACTCTGCAAACCTTATAACCTGGTTTCTGCTGTCATTACATTGTTGAAATCACCCTCACCGAGCAAGACGGTGTCCTTGCTATGACCTGCAGACACTTTTTCTCCCCTGTCCAAGGAGATCGCTTTATGGTCCTGACCCTGAGACAGTATAGCTAATTTTCTCCTGGTTCTCTTCCTACCTGAGTACTGCTTCTCAAGGATTCTTCTTCTGGCCCCCAGGATGTTGGTGATCCATGGGGATTCTCACTTGGACTCTCTTCTCACTCCATACACCTCCCCCAAGAGAAGTCTTCCACATCGCCCTAAAGGTTCTTGATTTCCAATTTGCTATTTCCAGAAGTGACTGTTCAAAACTTCAGACTGTATTGCTACCTGCCTGCTGGACGTTTCCATGAGGATGTCATGTAGTCACCTCGAACTCAGTGTGCCCACGTCAGGACCCATTGTCTGCTCCCCTCCCAATGTAGCCCCTTTTATTATCCCCATCCCAGAGGATGGCCCCACCCTCCAGCCCTCCACGTAAGCTGGAAACTTGTGATCCCCTAGACTCGGGGTTTCCCACATCCTTTTGGGCACTAAGTCCTGTTCATTCTACCCTTTTAACACTGTGTACACTAGTGTCTTCTCTCTCCTGATGACCAGGCCCTGTCTCGGACCCACTGGCCCCTGCCTTAGCTGATGGCCAACTAATGGATCTGCCAACCTTCAGACTTATTCTGCGGAGTCCACTGTTGCTGGTATCAGTTTTCTGGTCTACCTGTTATGACCCTCCATGGCTCCCCATCCCTACAAGGCAAACCCCAGCTCCCTAGTTTGGCATTCATCTCTTTTTGGGAGCTTGCCCTTGTCTGTCTCTGCCAATCTCCTCTCTGCAGCCTCTTGCTTCCTTCCCTTCTGCCGAGGGAAGCTCGATGCAGGTCCTCATACATGACTCCCTTTATACCCTTTATAC